GTAGTTAAATAAAATAAAAAATTAAGAATTTTTTTTTTTAAATCTTATATTAAATTTTTTATTACTTAAAATATTATCTGAATTATAATAATAATAATAATTAAAAATAAAGAAAGGTTACTCTCTAAAATAATAGAGAAATTAAAAGAGAAAATAAAAGTTGGACGGCCCAACTTTTCCGACCTATTTTTTTTTCCTGCAACCGTTCAATCCAGCCGTCACCGCCTGCCTGTCTTCCCTCTTAGAAGAAGACAGGTCAGTAGATGCCGAAGAAGACAGAGCCACCGTCGGAGAAGACAGAGCCGTCGTCGTAGGAGACAGATTGACGGATATCCACCGAAAAAAGAAGAGAAAATCTGTCGCCCACCCGCGATCGCGCTGCCACGCTCCGCCGCATTCGCGGCCGCTCCGACCTCTCCTTTAAAGCGCTCCGCAACAAACTTTCTGAAGCGGCACGGAGCCGCTCCGACGCGCCGCGGTAGCGGCCGCGACAAGCGCTATTGACTACTAATGAAAGTTAGATATATATTTAATTTTGTTACCATCCATTCATTATTCACTTTTGGTGTCGGTTAGAAACGCTACATTTTTTCTTTTATTTTTGAGTTAACACTTTGTTTTGTTTTGATTAAATTTTTAATAGGAGTTCAGATCTTATAATCCTCAATTGGGTCGTATGAAGGACAGACAACTGAAGAAAAGGTTGAAATACATGGTTGAACCAGATCAAAATTGCGAGACTAGGGTTGAAGATGTTGCTTGCCTTTGCTCTCTTTCAGAGTCTGAGATTGTAAGTCTCTTTTCTTATTCAATAACGTGATGGATCACATCGCATCGTTGTTTTCTTTATTTTTAGGTTCTCTAGGTGAAGTTTATATGCTATGCAAAAGAGATAAAATATTTTTTTTGGTATTTTCTAGGAACAAAAACAGCACTTGGAAGTTTAAGTGTACAAATTGCACTATCAAGGGAGGTGAGCTACTAAGATCCACTTGTTAACCAAGCCTTTTCAAGTGGAAATCACTAAACTCCCTTGTGGTATTTTCAATTCCACAAAACTTTTCACAATAATTTTTTGTGTTAAATGCTTTTCACAATTATTTTTGAAGATAACTAAACATAAACAATTAACTCTACACAATGCTAGTCGAAATAAGACAGCAAAGTAAACAATTTAAAGAACAAACAACTCAAAAGAAGCAAGATTAAGTAACTAGTCATTTTGCCCTAAGTGGAAGCTTGAAACATATGAAATTTCCAAGCCACTTCCACTAGTACTACACGTGAGTGAGGTACCAAGGGTTAGATATACCTGACCAGCTTCTTAATACTCCTGCCAAGCTTTACAAATTGATTGAAAATACAAGAGAAATTGCAAAAATTTAAACTACACTAAACAATTTTGTGGTGGCTTTAGTGACCAATTAGTGACGGATTTGTTGTCCAAGTTTTCCAATACTTGTTTAAGTGTTCCAATCCGCCACTAACCCTTGAATATTGGTGCTCCTAGACCCTGCACAAATAACACAACAAAGTAATGAATGTAGGCTGCTCACAAGGTAGATGGAAAGATCACTCTTGTGAAGGTAGGTTTAGGAATTTTTTTGGTCACTAAATTAGGTCAAGTTTCAAGTCTTTTATGTCCAATTCCTTTCCTACTTTTGTTGAGTCAATGTTTGGTCCTTAAGCAAGGATTTGAGGCCACTTCCAGCACAGAATTTTTAGTCAAAGAAAACTAGACAAGCAACAAAAGCACAATTTAACAAGCTTATACCAAAAATTGAAGAGTAAAGTGTTTAAGACAAGACTCAAAGATATCCAAAAATGAAAGCTGAAAATTAAGACTAAGAAAAAGAAGCTAGCACACAAAAGATAACCTATCAAAGGCACTAGAGTGGATTACAAAAACAAATCTAAGATTAGAAACAAAATTAAGACACAAAATATGTGGCTGGACTGAAAAAATTATAGACAAGAACACACCAAAACCGAGAGCTAGGTATACAAAATTTTTTCACTCCTTTTGGCTTTTTCTTTTGCTATTTTCTTTCTTCTTTTCTTTTTGCAAAATATTTCTCACTTCTTTTTCTTTGATTAATCAGGAGTCTAAATGCCTTTTGAACAATTATAGGTCTCGGCCTTAGGCTAGAAAATTGTAGCAAAAATTTTTACAAAACAAGACGTGTTCACATACATTTTGTAACTAGTGCTTCACAAATTTTGTAGTATTTTTAGGTCAAATTTTAGGCACTATTTTTCTTTTGTTTTCTCATGCATTAAGAACACATACACCTCTGTTTTGTCTCTATTTTAAGGCTTTAAAAATTGATATAGGTTTCAGCCACACACAAGACTCAAGGAAACCTAATAGAGAAATAATGTTTAACAATTTTTTTTTTGACAAACTTTTAACAAGACATACTAGAAACCTAACTCTAAGAAATTTGCTAGAACTAATAGCAAATTATGAACTCAAACATGTAAAACAAAAGCACATATATGTAGGCACAGATTTAAAAAGCAAAAGACGTACCAAACAAAGTTTCACAAACAACTAAAAAAAATTAGGTCAAACAAGCTAGTCTAGGAAGTTTCAACATGTAAAACGACTACACATGACTTCTAAGACAAAACAATTGATTCAAAAATAAAACTAATGCAATGTGAATGAAGTCCAATCACGGACACATGTTAAGGAATGGAGAAGACGCAAGCAAATACAAAACGCACAAGCAAATAGGACCTATGTATATTGATTGTGGATTGAAACTCAAAATACAATCAACAATTGGATCTATGGATAAAAATGTTTTCAAAAATTTATAGATCTGAAAAGAAACTCAAAGTATGACAAACAAGAACACCAAAACACAAGAACAATTGGTCCAAAATCAAGAACACTTATCTCCAATGAAGAAACCTTGCTCTAGATACCAAAATTGATGGTGAATTCAAGAGAAGTGTGGATGAACTCCTCCTTTCCTTCACCAAGCGTAGGATCTTCTTCTTGGAGACTTGAACTGAATAGATGAAGCTTGATTGATTGAGGAACACGAACCAAGAAAGCCTAGGCTGGAGAAGGAAGTATCCTAGCTTGAAGGCTCAAAGGAATGTTCACTTCAAAGGTAGGAAACTAAAGGAATTTCCTAGGATTTTGAAGGCACTCTCTCAAATTAGTTAACAAACTAACAACTCTCCTTTAAATAACATTGTAGTGTGGTATTTTCGCTCTAGCCAATTTCCTTTGGAATAAGAATTTTGCATGTTTGATGTATATTTCTATTTGTCCATATCTATGGTGGCTTTACAAGAAGGCACGTTTTCTGTAGCAGTATACTATCTTTACAGCCCTGTTTAATCAGAGAGGAATGGTCTCAATTTTTTAGGATTTGATTTGCCATTTTATTTGGGAAAGAATTGCGTCTATGATTTCTCTTTGGTGCTTGTTATTTCATCACTATAATTCAGAGATTAGGCCGCCTTGCTCTTTTTTAAAGATTCCATACACACATTTTTCTTTGATGGATATCTTATTCCCCTACCTGACCCCATTGTACCACTATTCTCTCTTTAATAAAACTTATTGTCTTTAAAAGCATTTGAGCATGTGAAAACAAAAATAATCGGCTTATCTAGTTCATTAAAGAATGCAGTGTGATAGTCTCTGTCTTAGACTGGTTTAAACGTGCAAATCTAGTTTAAAGTGGACCATGTTTTATCGAGTTCATTAAATAATAGTCGTGTAATAAAGCCTGTCTTAGATCAGGTTATATGTGCAAATCTATTTTAAAGTAGACTTGGATCAGTCAATACTAGCTGGGTATGTGTGTACATGAATTTGGATATGCCCCTTCATTTTAGAGTGATTTCTCATGTAAGCTCTTAACTTTTGAGTTTTGATGTTCAAAATTGAAAACTTTTGCAGGACATGCTGATTAGTTTGAAATTGTTGATCATTCGGCTTGCAAAAATGATAGGTTGTAAGAAGCTAGCAAATAAATTCAACCTTAGAATGATTCGAGCCATTGGTACGTTGTTTGCAAGCCTTTTCAAAATTTCATATGCATAATGTTCCATGATTTTGAATGAAATAAAAAAAACAAAACTATGCGTTTGTTGTTTCACGTCTCTTTTGTTGTGTTCCTGTATATTAATGTTGATATTAATAATGGTGAGGCAAGGTAGAAGAGGTCACATTTTTTTATTAGAAAAAGACAACACATACCCGTTATATCTGGAATTAGTTATAATGTTCTTTGCATGATTTCATTCATTGAAATCATTGGAGGAAACTGGCTTCTCCTAGGCTATTGCACCCTCCTGTTGCATACATAAAATGAATTTCTAGAGAATTAATGTCGCAATTCATGATTTGCACCTGCAATTTGAATTTGAGTTTTAGAACTCAAGGGAATATTATTATATTCATTGCAAATTTAATGAATTTCTTACTATCAGGTTGCATGAAAATCTATCCACTTCTTGCCTGGTGGTGGTTAGATTAGATAACACATGATTACTATTTAGCTACATTTTCTAACTTCCAATGAAATTTTGTGCAGCACTTGTTTTGATAGAACATCTCAAAGCAGAGGTAAAAGATTCATCACTTATCCCCAATTTGGCAACCTTTCGCTCTACAAAGACCTCACAAACACTCAAGAAACTATAAAGGAAGAGAAAGGAGTGTTTCTGTCAGGAATTTTTCAACTAAATAGTGTGTGTGGGAGACTAAGCCCTAGGCAAGCTTATATAGGCACCCAAAGGCGTGGAACGGTCGTTCCTAGGCTTGGAACGGCCATTCTACCCTTAAAATTACATTAAAATATTTAGGAACAAGTCATTCAAAATTAGGGTTATAGGCTAAATTTTTAGTTAGGAATGGTCGTTCAAGGTTTTGGTAGGGTTGTTCCTAACTAGGGTTTCCCATATTAATTTTGAATTGGGAATGGCCGTTCCAAGTGTGGGAACAATTATTCCATGCCCTAAACCCTAGCTTCAAGTCTTTTAGGCCTCTTGGTGCTGTCCTAGTCCATCTCAGTGCTTTATCAAGCCCTCGAGGGCCACTCTTGTCGTCCTAGTGGCCCTTTGTTTTTGGTAAAGGTAACCTGGACGAAATCGGGTGTCTACAAGCTCTAACCCTCAATGAATCATTCTTTAGAAATCTAACTTGTCTACCATTCAAAATTGAATGCTCAAGTATTGTACCTTTAAACTCATCCAAGTTGCTAAATTCCATGCCAAGCTTAAATCGAAAATTCTTGCTCTTGTCTTCACTGTTATACCTTTGGTACCTAACAATTTTACCACCTAAATCTAAGTCTCCAATGTCCAAATATTTAGTGTCATATCCATCTACAAGTTGGTGTTCTAAGTCAGCATTATTGGGGAAAAACTCACTAACAACATCGTGTGCAAGTTGCCTATCCTCGACAATGTCCTCCCTACTTTGCATATCTTCAACCACATTTTTTTTTAACTTTTTGTTTGATAACCTTGTCAACCACTAAAATTTCATCTTTATGAAACCCATCATCATTATTGTTTGCTCTGTCTTCCTCATTATCTTCAAATTCACTAACATTTGTTCCATTATCCTCACTACCATCTGTTTCACCATCCTCACCACCATTTGTTTCACTAACTCCACTTTTTTCTTCTCACCTACAATAATCTCATGTTTCACAAACACTTGAACATGATATTTTTTACTTATAGCATAATTAGCCATCTCAATAGCATGGCTATCTAAACTTAATTCTTTCATACCATCAATTAAGTTTTCATCACTCCCCTTCCACCATATCTTAAAGTAACCACTACAGCCAATGCCTTCCTTCAAAATATTGAGTAACTCAAAAAAGGGGCCATTTGTTCAAGTCTAAATCACAAAGCAACATCATTTTCCTGCCAACATAGTTTGTTGTTGAGTCATGAATTAACAAGCCCTTATGGTTAACTTCCACAATGAAAGACATCCCAAAAGAAAACTGATAAATTCAACATGAAAAGGGACATAAAGGCAAAAAGGAAAAAAGGAACATATAACGTTCATATAGCCAAAGGAACATAAAAAGGGTAGAAACATATAGTGTGTATACAAATAAAGGCACACGAAGAAAAAACCCTAGCCAAAAAAGTTTAAAAAAAAGGAAACATGAAAGAAACATAAAATATAGTGGACAACCACATGTTCCAATCTCTAAAATATGGACAACAAAAATAAAGAGAAAAAGGTAATGAAATGACAAAAACAAACAAAATGCAAAAATGCACAAAGGAATCAAACAACCATGTGTTCCAAACTCCAAAACAAACAACAAAAAGGCACAAAAAGACAAATACACTTATACACTATTAAGGACCACAACGTTAGAGAGACCACAACACCAAAGGTACAAAGACCAAAAAAACCAACCAGAAACACAAAAAAAGCCAACACAACTTGTGGCCAACATAAAGAATGGCAAAAACGAAACACATATACAAAGGGGTAAAGGAGTATCTAACTTTTTCTCGCTTGCGTTTCTTAAGGATATTGTCCCAACCAAGAATGTGTCTCAATCACGACCCACTACAACCCAAACGCGTGTCTTTGCCTCCGTGAAGAGCAACAATGGTTCTCCTCACTCGCTTATCAACCTCAATCGCGTATTACAGATACAACATATGTTTATGCCATTTTAACCCTAGTTGAAGCCTAATTTGACTATCACCCTCCTCATTTCTAATTGAAACATTTTTTTAGTTCACTGACTGTTCAAATTATTTAAAATTTAATCAATAAAAATGTAATAATCAAATTAATAAAATAAAATATGTTAACATAATTGTTCCTGAATTAGGATACACACTTTGCTTATCCGAATTGTTGCGAATCTGATCCTTGGTCTAGGTCTTCTCATTCCGTTCTATGTAGTCCGAAGTGGGGGAATCCTGCAAAGACACTCCAACGCTCAAGTAAGTGTTCGGCGTATTAAATGCGCTAGTTGAAAGTTAGTTACGTACCTCGTTGAGGGCCTATTTATAGTGGTTGTTGTTGGGCCACGATTAGGGACTGGGCCTCGGAAAATTAGGGGGCTAAACCGATACATTAAATTATTTTCTCCTTAATTGACTTGACTTAATTCCATAATCTCGTGTGCTCGGAACTTGCTGGCTGACCAGGTCGACCACGGGTTAACCTAGTCGACCGGCTCGGCCGTGTTTGGCATAGTCGGTCGAGTCAGTTTAGGTGCGTGTTCGGTTTGGTCGGTTAACATCTGGTATAATAATTAAAAAGTGTGGACACATTTCACATGTTGATGTGTCAAATTAGTAAACATGTCATCAGTTAACAGTGAATATTTAATGGTGAAGAGCAAAAGGAAAATAAAAAATATAATGGGGATTAAAAGTTAAGCAAAATTTTGTTGAGGAGTAAAAGCGTAAAAGAGATATAACAATAAAAAAATATTTAAACATAGTTTTATTTACTGTGTTTTATAATTGTTTTATATCTATAACATTATATTTTTTAATTTATTTATCCTTTAATTAATGTGTTGAAATACATTTTCACTTTTTAATTAATTAGTATAACTATCCCATTATTTTAAAGATAACCACAAATTTTCTTAATTTTATTCTTTTATTATGGCCAACTCACTTTCACTAGTTGTTTGGAATTAGGGTTGTGCACACCAAATAAAACCCACAAAAAGAACACAACCATAGTGCGGTCTGAATTGCTTATTTTTCACGATTTTGACTGTGAAACACATTCGACGGCCCTTGGAGAAGCAACAACACAGTGAGACCCTCTTTGCCCAGAATCGTGTTATTCATCACGAAATCATAACGAGAACTTGCCATTTCAAGAGTTTTATGGTTTAGGGTTTTTTAAGATTGCAAGAAGATGGGTTTCAACATTCAACCCTATGGGATTCAATCCATGCTCAAGGAAGGGCACAAACACCTTATAGGTCTCAATGAAGCGGTTCTCAAGAACATCGACGCCTGCAAACAACTTTCCACTATCACTCGAACTTCCCTTGGACCCAATGGTAATAATCACACCTACACTTTCTCATTTCCAATCTGTTTTGTTCATCGCAAGTAATGTTGCATCTTCAGATTCCAAAAGTTTGGATTTTTATAATGCGGGTATGTGTTCGTTTGCATCATATGTTGATATAGGTTTTTCACGTAATCAAGTGCTAGAGTAAATGTGATGTGCTTGAAAATTTAAGGGAGATTGTGAATAAGTAGCTTTTGTCTTTGTTTTTCGTCTACAGAGAGAATCTGCCAATTTGGGTCATGTGGAAGTTTTTGTTTGTTTGGATAGATTTAGAATGCGGTGGTGGTCTTGTTTCTAAAAGTTTTGTTTGATCTGCTTCAGGCATGAATAAGATGGTTATAAATCACTTGGACAAGCTTTTTGTCACGAATGATGCTGCTACTATTGTGAATGAACTTGAAGTTCAGCATCCTGCTGCCAAGGTTTTGGTTTTGGCTGGGAAGGCGCAACAAGAGGAAATTGGGGATGGAGCTAATTTAACTATTTCATTTGCTGGGGAGCTCCTGCAGGGTGCAGAGGAACTTATTAGGATGGGTTTGCATCCTAGTGAGATCATCAGTGGATACACTAAAGCAATCAACAAGGTTTTTCCATTGTTGACGAGAGCCTTAGTCTTAGTGATTTGTCTTTATTCTTTAAATGTCATACTGCCCCTCTCTCTCCCCTCTAATTTTTTGCCTTGTTTCAGACTGTTCAAATATTGGATGAACTGGTTGAGGATGGTTCAGAGAATATGGATGTTCACGATAAGGAGCAAGTTCTTTCTCGAATGAAAGCAACTGTTGCTAGCAAGCAATTTGGTCAAGAACATACCATATGCTCACTTGTTGCCGATGTGAGTATATCCTAATTTACCCATTTTACTTGATAAAATGCTTTGGAAGCACACTGTTTACATTCTGACCTATGTTTGGAAAATATAGGCATGCATCCAAGTGTGTCCCAAAAACCCTGCAAACTTTAACGTAGACAATGTCCGTGTTGCAAAGCTCTTGGGAGGGGGCTTGCATAACAGTACAGTAGTTCGAGGAATGGTTTTGAAAAGTGATGTTATTGGAACTATAAAGCAAGCAGAAAAGGCGAAGGTGAGCTTTCTATGTGTTGGAATATTTTTGGTTTTATTCATTTATTGGAGAGTCTACTGTATAATATTTTTGTTAAGAATGAGATTCTTTACCACTGTGAACTGTTTCAAAGTACTGAAGTCTTTTGTCTGTTCTATTCAAGGTTGTTGTGTTTGCTGGTGGTGTTGATACGTCTGCAACTGAAACTAAAGGGACTGTCCTCATACATACAGCTGAACAGGTAATATCAAAATGTCTAGAGTTCTTAATTTGATTACTACCTTCTACCTTTTGTTTTATGTATTTTTTTATTGTTTGAGTGGTGGAGCCTATTTGTGTTTGCTGGTATAAACTAGAGATCTATTTCGTCTCCCAAATAAGAAGGTTGAAAATGGATTGTGGTTGGGTACTGTGCTAAATCCTAATGCAGTAATGCCAATTGTAAACTTGTGGCATTGTTTCTCCTCACATAGTTTTATGTTTACTCCCACTGAAAATTGGGATGGCTCTAATAAGATATTATTTTGGGCCATGTCATAGTTGTGTTGTAGATTTTGTAAGGTGACATTGTTGATGGAGTTTCTAAGTTCATTTGCGCATGTATATGCTTTATGTTTCTACATTTTTGCTAATTGTTAAAACTCAAAATATGTTATAGCCTAACAGGTCTATAATGCTTGGTCAACATTGTTATTACATGGTGGCACCATTACTGCTATAGAAGAATGGCCTGGCAAGTTTTGCCAACTGCCATAGGCAATTTGTGAAGGGAGGCCCGCTATGGTGGTACCATTGGCTGCAATGCTGTGTTTATATGGAAAAATTTTGGCCTCCACCATCTGTCATTAATAACATTGTTGATCAATTGTTAATTCAAGTTGATTAAGAACTCAGGATGCTTTTTCAGCTGTATGACCAAATCTGCTATGTATTTATAATGCTAAGCTATAATCATGTTTTTAGTGCAATATTTTTATGTAATGTGTATATAGCATCAGTTAGATTCTTCAGCTTGAGGTCAAGCAAGCCGTAGTTCTTTAATGCATACTAGCATGGGATTTCTCAAATTGTGCCTTTATTTATGACCTCATCTATTTCTTTCATGCTGAGCTTTATTGAAGTGATTTGTTACTAGAGCTTTTGGTTGGAAAGTGGAAACAATTTTAGACATGTAAATTTAAACTTGTAGAACAATTTGGCAATAACTTTTAAGACTACTTATTTTGATTTTCAACTATTTCTTGCTATATTAGGCAATGACTTTATTTATTACCTGAAGTACTAGTGGAGCCTTGAGATTTTATGGACCAAAATATTCCCATGTTTTGTTTTCTTAAATTGTTTGATGCTTTTGCTAATTGGAATTGTTATCTTCATTTGATTTATATAGCTAGAAAATTATTCAAAAACTGAAGAGGCTAAAGTTGAGGAGCTCATCAAAGTAGTAGCAGATTCTGGTGCCAAAGTGATTGTTAGTGGAGGATCAGTAGCAGAGATGGCTTTGCATTTTTGTGAGCGTTACAAGTATGTGAAGTCTTTATCCATGTTTGATGGTTTAATTGTCTCTTTCTGTTGAATTAATATGAATGTTACAAGTGTACACGTATAGATTGTTTTCTAATTTCAAAATTCCTGCTTGTAGACTTATGGTTCTCAAAATCAGCTCAAAGTTTGAACTACGTCGATTTTGCCGAACAACTGGTTTTGTTGCTATGGTTTGTGCTTTTGATTGTTCCTCTTCATAAAGTGGTTTTCTACTTTCTGTCTAACCCATTTTGTTTTCCTGAAATAGCTGAAACTTGGCCAACCAAATCCAGATGATCTTGGATATGTAGATTCTGTTTCAGTTGAGGAAATTGGTGGTGTTAGGGTATGTTAAAGCCGATTGTTTGGGTTCTGTCATTTTATTGGTTCCATCTGTCATTTATATATTAGATTATTCCCCCTTCTTTTTGTTCTTCTCATTTCCAATTATGGTATGCAATTTCCTTTATTTTTTTATATGATGAAATGATATGCTGGTGATCATTGTGAAAAATGAAGAGGGTGGAAATTCTGTGGCCACTGTTGTTTTACGAGGAAGTACTGATAGTATACTAGATGATCTTGAAAGAGCAGTTGATGATGGAGTGAACACTTACAAGGTATTTTCCAATGTTTTGTAATTTCCAATGATCTTGAGAAGGTAATTTTCTGATGCTTCCTTCCATCAATCTTGTGAAAATTTGGCCTACAAACATAAGGATTTTGGATTGCAGTTTATCAAGCTTCTCTAAGCTCAACAATTACAAATTAAGAAAATGAGTAATGGTATCTTTATAAGTCAAAGCAAGTATTGCAATGAGCTATTGAAAAAGTTTGGTATGGTTGGTTGTAAGGAGGCTGCAACACCAATATCAAACACATGCAATCTTAACCTAGATGAGAAAGGGATAGCTGTTGATAATTCAAAATATAGAGGTATTATTGGATCACTTTTATATTTGACAGCTAGTAGACCTAATATAACGTTTTTTGTGTGCTTGTGTGCAAGATTTCAGGCTAATCCAAAAGAGTCTCATATGAAAGCTGTTAAGAGAATACTTAAATATCTAAGAGGATCAATGAATTTAGGACTATGGTATCCAAAAGGAGTCTCACTAAGTTTGATAGGATATTCAGATTCAAACTATGCTGGGTGTAGACTTGATAGGAAGAGTACAAGTGGTACCTATCACCTACTTAGAAGTGCACTTGTCTCACGGCATAGCAAAAAGCAAGCATGTGTTACTTTAAGCACAACTGAGGCTGAGTACATAGCCACAGGCAACTATTATGCACAAATCCTCTGGATGAAAAATAATGAAAAGACTATAGAACTGAACTGAACAAGATTCCCTTGAGATGTGATAACACAAGTGCAATAAATCTCACTAAAAATCCAATCTTGCATTCAAGAACAAAACATATAGAAATAAGACATCATTTTTTAAGAGACCATGTTTAAAAGAATGATTGTGTGGCATAGTTTGTTGAGAAAAATAAACAACTAGCTGATATATTTACAAAACCACTACCAAAAGAAAGGTTTAATCAACTAAGAATTGAACTTGGAATAATTAATGAGTCTTGCTTGAATTGATTGCAAAGTTGTACTTGAATGTGATTGTTTGAATGAAATTTGATTGATAAGTATATAATACATTGAAATGTGGTTAATAAAAGAGTGTTCTTAAGAGTTAAAATGAATTAGAGAAGTTCTATAAGGTTTAAAGAAGTAAAACAAAGTTTCTTCTGAAATAATCGATTATTTTAAAATATAATCGAGTATTGTAAGTAAGTCTAGATAAATAATCGAGTATTCAGTAAATAATCAATTAACTGAAAGGATTTGGATTCTAGAAGTCTTTGGAATAATTGATTATTTGGGTAAATAATCGATTATCTGGGAAAAAAGAAAACTTTGAGTCTTTGTAATAATCGATTATTTGGAAAATAATCGATTATCTGGGTAGAATAGAAGAACTGAGTCTCTGGAATAATCGATTATTCTAGAAACAATAGATTATCTAGGAGAAAATTTGAAAAATAGTCTTTGAAATAATCGATTATTTAGTGTAAAAAGCGTTTTCAAGGGGATTTTGCTGATACAAATAATCGATTATTTGTATGGATAATCGATTATTTTTGCGACCCTTCATTTTCCAAGAGGTTTTTGAACGGTTATCTTCGCACCAACTCCCAACTTCCCACCTTCCTTCATAAGTGGCACCTCCTCAATGTAACGACCCGCCGTGGCTGTCACACTACGAAGCAACACTACACACTACTAGAATATATATACTAAAATAGTATAATAAAATATTTACAACATAAGTTTCTAATCAAGCAACCAACAGCAACTAGTTATATAAATATTAAAATATGCTACTATACCCTTCATTTTAGAGTGATTTCTCATGTAAGCTCTTAACTTTTGAGTTTTGATGTTCAAAATTGAAAACTTTTGCAGGACATGCTGATTAGTTTGAAATTGTTGATCATTCGGCTTGCAAAAATGATAGGTTGTAAGAAGCTAGCAAATAAATTCAACCTTAGAATGATTCGAGCCATTGGTACGTTGTTTGCAAGCCTTTTCAAAATTTCATATGCATAATGTTCCATGATTTTGAATGAAATAAAAAAAACAAAACTATGCGTTTGTTGTTTCACGTCTCTTTTGTTGTGTTCCTGTATATTAATGTGAAAGATTTTTCCTTCAAGGAGACAGGGTACTTTTTATTTCCCTTTTCACTGTAAAAGATAGTGGTTTACATTCTTGGGGATACATTACTGTGTTTTTTTCAGACACATGCCTTTTGCACATTATTTATATATTTTTTAATTACAGGAAAGGTTTTTTTTTGTATGATTTTGGCATATGGTTGTCATATTGTTTCCAATTATATGTTTACATATTTCCGTTTGTGGAGTATGAAGCATGAGCATAATTACGTATCAAGATGTTTATAGAAGTACACCTCAAAAAAAAAAAAAAAAGCCACATCTTACTAGAGGAGGTTGACTACATGAATCACATGATGTCATTTGGCTCAGTTATAATCCAAATCTTCAATAAGGCTTATTCACCATCAGATCCCTTTTAATAACTTCCTCCAATGTCTTTGGTCTCCTTCACCGCCTTTTAACATGACTAAAACCATGCAATCTTTAATTCTTGATGATACTTCTAGTTGACTTTTTTGTATCCAAACCACCTTAACTGCCACTGTGATCTTTTCTTCAATTGGTGTTCACCAATATCTTTTTTGTACGATTATTTTTGTGTCTTCTCCTATTTTGGTGAGGCCACACTTCAAAGATATGCAAAAACTGAACTAGACTGATCTAGAACTATATTGTACTGAATTAGAAAACTGATTTTTGAGGGAAAAAACCCGAACGAAACTAAGGTTATCGATAACGGATAACTGTATATGGCGGTGAGCCAAAAATCCTTTATAAACTTATGGCGGTCTATGGCGGATGTCATAATGGACAAAAGAACAAAATATATATATACAAAAAAAAAAAGCAAAAAAAAAAATCACACGCAGTAAAAATAAATTGAGAACAACTAAGTATCAACAAAAATAGTTTAAATATCATAACAACAATACCAAAAATTCATAATTCATTAATTGAAATTGATTAAATTAAAACACAACAAAAGGAGTAGAAAGACAACAAGAGTGCAAGACACATTTTGCTAATATAATTTTCATCATCCTCCTCATCCTCACAATTCTCCTCTTCCTCATTGTAATCATTTTCCTCATTGAAAGCCAAAGTGGCATAGCCTTCAACTTCTTCTGAATTTCAAAATTAATATTTGGCAATTCTTCCTCTAACTCCTCAGTAATGTCTTCTGAATCTTCTTCAACAACTTGAACCATTTTTCCTTTCCTAGTTGAAGGCCCTCTTTTGCCCCTTTTAGAAACATTTTGAGATGATGCTCCTTCCCCACATGGAGGTTGTTTCCTTCTACATCTAGTATACATTATAGGCTCTCCAACCCCTGAAGCCCTATAAACATATCCCCAAGTAAGTGGATCATCTCCATCAAAAACCCTCTCATCTTGAGCTTCTTCATCATCGTCATCCCCATCCATCTCTTCAACAAGCCATTCATTACATTCATCAATATCATGAAGGCTAATGGGATCAACTTCGTCCTTAAGATTGTATCTTTGTTTGAGTGCTTGATTATACTTGACATAGACCAAGTTATGTAATTTTTTTATGCACAAGCCTATTCCTCCTCTTTGTATGAATTTGTAGCATTAAGTTAAATAATTAAGAAAACATTATAAGAAAATTTGGAATTAATTATTGACTCTTAAAAAGCAAATTAATTACTTTCTCAAAGACACTCCAATTACGTTCACAACCAGATGAAAAAGTCAAACCTAATATCTTCATAGCTAGTTGTTGTAAATTGGGGGTCGATGAACCGTATATTGACAACCTATTTGAATTCCACTCATCTGAAACAAACATCTTTCTTAAATTTGATTTTTCTTGGTGGATCCTTTCCAAGGAAAGAAAAGAGGTTGCAAATCGAGTCACTGCATGCCTCACTAGCTACCTTTTGTTTGTATAAAATCTCAACAAACTTAAACTGCTTGAATGGCTATAAATAAAGCCAACAAGAGAGATTGCCCGTTGAATTGTCTTCTTAATATTGGAAAGCTTTCCAATGTCCTCCAATATTAAATCTATGCAATGTGCTGCACACGGAGTTTAATAAATTTTGGGTCTTTTTTCCTCTAACATCTTGCCAGCAAGAACATAGTTACTTCCGTTGTCTGTGATGACTTGGACAACTTTTTCCTCTCCAATCTCCTCTACAATAGAGTCAAGTAACTCAACTTTTCTTCGATTTTCACAAAATTAGACCCATCAACAGATTTGATGAACATTGTCCCTACAAAAGAGCTCACCAAAAAATTAATTATGCATCTTTGCTTATTATTCATCAAAGCATCTGACATAATAGAACATCCAAAACTAGCCCATTGTTATTTTTGACTCTTCATCAAATTATTAGTATACTCTACCTCCTTTTGGAGAAGTGGAACTCTTATCTTATGATAAGTTGGAGGTTGCAAATGTGGTCCAAAAGATCCAATAGCTGCAACCATGTCATGGAAGCTCTCCAATTTGACCATGTTAAAAGATCATCTAGCTTGATACCAAAATCGGGCTATAAATTGGTGGATCCTTGCTATAGCTTACTTGTCACAAGTCTCCCTTATATTTATTTGCTTCAATTTATCCTTGTTTCTTACAATTATAGTTTCCTTCCATTTACAAAAAAGATCAATGGGACCCTTCTTCATAGCAAGCTTCTTCCTTTTATTGGCACCAAGTGTTTCAGCTTCTAGTTCTCTAAAATCTCACTCCGATGTATAATCTTCACTATCAAGAGTCACGTCTTCCACTACTCTTTGGCATGCCTCACTCTCTTTCATCTTCTTATTTTTTTCAAGTGCTCACAACTCATCTCTAACTTCCTTGGGACAACTTTGACAAGGTGCAACATTTCCCTTCTTTCCCATTAGATGTTTTCCTCTTGTAATTCCCCCTTTTCATGATTTTTTGACAATAATTACAACAATTTCATTGGTATCATTCTCTTTGGTAGGATGACAATGTTTTCATCCTATATCTATCCTCTTTACAGAGTTTGAGGATGTTTGACTTTGAGTAGGATTCCTAGACATTGTCCTAAAAATAAGAATAAGAACAATAATAAAATAGGAACTCAATGTTAGTTTAGAATTTAGAACAAAATAGGAATTTAAATTGACCCAATTGGTAGATTAGGATTAAAAAAAATTGTTGTAGATGCAGCAACAAACTCATTAAGAAAGGACTCAAAGGAGTTGGGAAAACCAAAGGAAGGAGGATTAAAACTGGAAAAAAAAAATAACAAGAGTTCAGTTTTTAAGTTTGGCTATGATCGTTAGAATTGCTCGCTCGAGTGTTGGGCCATCACAGTTTAGGTCGCCGGTCAGAAAGATGACCAAGGAGTGGTGAACGACGGTGAACGAAGGTGATCAAGGGCGGTTTCAACTTCTGTAAGTCCTGTTCGCGCATCATGGTTGCTTGTCGGAGTGTTGGACCACCGCGATTCAGGTCACCGGTCAGAAAGGTGAGCAGCGAGTGGTGGGTGATGATAAAGGAACGTCACTGGAGATGGATTGAAGGTCATAGAAGTGCATTTGGGTGGGTGGTTGTCGCGGCTCTATTCTCACTCTCGAACACCAAAACCATTAGGATACTCAAATTGGGCCTAGGTCAAAGCCCAAAATTGGCCCCAAAAACCCTAGACCCATTATGCCTACCATCACCTTCATAACGTAACGGGACAAAACGGCCATGGCGCCCGCCACGGCAGAAATGGTGGGCAGCATCACAAAATGCCATATTGCGGATATCGAATGGTGACAAGAACCAAAACCGCCCCGCCGTACTATTATATCGGTGTTATAACCATTTTTTGACAACATTGAACCAAACCACATTGTATAAATAGTTTGGTTAACCAAACTGCTTTTAGAAAGTGGATAATCAAACTAGATTGAATTGAGCCATTTTGAAAATGGTCCAGTCTCGCTCAGTTTGGTTTTCTGAAAAAACTGAACTTTGCACATACGTACTACTCATTCATCTCAACATTCTAATTTCTGCTAAGCCCAACGATACCATATAGTCTAATCAGGCATATAGAAGTATGATAAAGTTTTCCTTTGAACTTGGTAGGTCCTTGATGCCTTTCTCAATTTTAGCTATCCCGCATGCATTTTGTGTGTCACGTTCTCATTAATTTCCCCATTCTTTTGTTGTATTTAACCTATATATTTAAACTTTGAAACATCTCCCAGTTTTATTTTCAAGTCATATTCCTCTGGTCACTTGATAAAGTTGCAATGCATATACTTTTTCTTTCTCTTACTTCTTCATTGGCTTTTGGCCCTTTGGTATTATTCACTGGTATGCCAAATGTATAAGCTTATTATACTCATTATCATCCTGGATATCTCTTTCTCTGTTTCAAAGATGTGGCTCTTTTCTGATCACCTGTCTGATGTAGTTTATTGGGTTATGTCAATGCTATGTCTACTTTGTTTAATGCTTATTTGGTATTTGACACAAGAATCTGATGGACTAAATGTTTGCAATGACTCTGCAGGTTGGATCAGTATGCTATAGCAAAATTTGCTGAAAGTTTTGAAATGATTCCTAGAACTTTGGCTGAGAATGCTGGGCTAAATGCAATGGAGATCATATCTTCTTTATATGCAGAACATGCATCTGGAAATGCCAAAGTTGGCATTGATTTGGAAGAAGGTGTTTGTAAGGATGTCTCAACCTTGAGCATTTGGGATCTCCATGTGACTAAGTAAGCTTTGTTCTAACACAAACATGTTTTATATAGTGGCAACCCCATAGTTTGAGAAAATAATGAACTGGCTTTTCTTTATTGTAGTGTAGATTTCTCTAAAAGCCTTGTCATATAAAAGTTATGGAGCTAATGCATTCTTTCAACTGCTAAGATTGGAGATACTATGTTGAATTGGGATTTATCTTCATATTGCCTGATAGACTAGTTTCATCTCATTGTTTTTTCTTTTCAGGTTCTTTGCTCTTAAGTATGTCGCGGATGCTGCATGCACTATACTACGGGTGGACCAGGTAATCATTTAAATAATTGTTCCTAGTCAATTCCATATTGCCACCTAAATATGTACCTCCAAAGCACAATTTTGTTTAGGAAACAAGCTTAGAAACCCGATTTTTTTAATAGTTAATAAATATATTTTTGAAGGATTATCCAACTAATAGTGGGCAAGCTGTATTGATGATGTGGACTTTTCCCCCTTTCTTGCTGTATCTTGTTCCATTTATTTTCAGGGAGAAACTTAGGAAAATTGCAACCTGTAGTTAAGAGTAATGTTAATAATATGCAGCTTTTGTAAATTAGCAACTATATTGAAGAGTATGGGTACATGATTAGGGATGGAAAAACGGGCCAGTTCGGCCCGTTTTGGCCCGTCCCGCTGTTGACCCGCCAAAAACGGGTCGGGCCGGACTGCGGCCCCGCCAATATAAAACGGGCTTGAGATGCTGGCCCGCCCCGCCTAAGGACGGGCAGGCGGGTTGGCGGGCTAGCCCGCATACAAAAATAAAAAAAATAAAAAAAAAGGAAAAAAAAATAATTAAAAAATGTCCCAAACAACAGTGCTTAAACCAAATATAGCACAAAGCAAAGTCCAAATAGCACAAAGCAAAGTCCAAAAATTCTGATGTCTACTATTATATGGAATTTACTTTATTCACTTTGTAAACGTTCTTTAGTTCATATAATCTGCCATGTTATCCCTACAGCTATAAACATCCTATCAAGTCTTTTGACAGTACATAAGGATAAAAGAGAGGATACAAAGTGAACTAGCCAAATGCTATCTCCTGAAGCACTTGAAGTGTCTTTCGGTGAACCTGAAAGCATGGGTAAAGAACAAGAACAACAATTATGGAGGTGATTATATGACTGATAACTTTAGAAGTTAGTTTAATCAACAATCATGGAGGTAATTATATGACTGATAACTTTAGAAGTTAATTTAATTAAGGAGGTGATTATATGACTGATAACTTTAGAAGTTAATTTAATTAAGGAGGTGATTATATGACTGATAAGTTTAGAAGTTAGTTTAATCAACAATTATGGAGGTGATTATGTGACTGATAACTTTAGAAGTTAATTTAATCGACAAAACTAAGCATGCATTAGAGGGAACACAACTTATATTCAGCATCACATGTAAATGCAATATTGAAACAAATATACCCTACATTATCGATGACTTGAAGAAGGGACAGAAAACTAGAGGTTGATAATGCCTAACAAGTTTCATTCTGTTATAGAATTTTAGGGGACTTTTATTGTGCATTCTGTAGTCAAGAAAAGTCTTGCATCTTCATAGATAACAATGCAAGGTGTTTACCAAACCCTTCAATTGTAATTGCAACTACCAATTACAGGGAAAGCAAGTTTCTTTTAAAATAGTCAAGTCCAACGAGCATTTTACATAAACAAACAATATCGTTAAGTTCTCTAATAAGCTGATCTCAATCCAGCACCAAATTATCTTCCGTGGGTTAAACAAGTTTAACTAAAGGTCAGCTAATGAAAATCCGAAAGAAAGAAGAGATAAAACAGAAATTCTGAAGCATTGGCCTAAAATTATAAATAGATATTTATAAAGAAAAAGGGATGGTGTTTATCATTCCAATGGGCCACAGTACGGACACCAAATGAGATTTGATTTTGCAAATAGAAACATTTGAGAGTTTATAAGGAGGAAAATAATATACCCATTCAAGGTGTTGCGCAGTGATGCCAGAGTCAGTTCCAACATATAAACCGGATAAGACCTGATGAGCAAAAGAATTGAAAAAATATTAATTTGAAATACATAGAAAATAAAAGATCATTCAAGTTCAATGCAGCAAGCATTGTTCTACAAAGAGCTCTGAGTATAGGAGAAATTATCATGGTTAAAAGTTCAGGTGTTGCAAGGGTGAAATTTTTAACTGGACCAAATATTTTATAGGTTAAATTTGGTCCACTTGGCTTCAATGCAAACCATTCAAAACAAAAAGCATGGCATATAATTACCTTGGAAACAGTCTCAAGAAACATGTCGGGGCGTACTGGAAGTATTATATGACTGATAACTTTAGAAGTTAATTTAATTAAGGAGGTGATTATATGACTGATAAGTTTAGAAGTTAGTTTAATCAACAATTATGGAGGTGATTATGTGACTGATAACTTTAGAAGTTAATTTAATCGACAAAACTAAGCATGCATTAGAGGGAACACAACTTATATTCAGCATCACATGTAAATGCAATATTGAAACAAATATACCCTACATTATCGATGACTTGAAGAAGGGACAGAAAACTAGAGGTTGATAATGCCTAACAAGTTTCATTCTGTTATAGAATTTTAGGGGACTTTTATTGTGCATTCTGTAGTCAAGAAAAGTCTTGCATCTTCATAGATAACAATGCAAGGTGTTTACCAAACCCTTCAATTGTAATTGCAACTACCAATTACAGGGAAAGCAAGTTTCTTTTAAAATAGTCAAGTCCAACGAGCATTTTACATAAACAAACAATATCGTTAAGTTCTCTAATAAGCTGATCTCAATCCAGCACCAAATTATCTTCCGTGGGTTAAACAAGTTTAACTAAAGGTCAGCTAATGAAAATCCGAAAGAAAGAAGAGATAAAACAGAAATTCTGAAGCATTGGCCTAAAATTATAAATAGATATTTATAAAGAAAAAGGGATGGTGTTTATCATTCCAATGGGCCACAGTACGGACACCAAATGAGATTTGATTTTGCAAATAGAAACATTTGAGAGTTTATAAGGAGGAAAATAATATACCCATTCAAGGTGTTGCGCAGTGATGCCAGAGTCAGTTCCAACATATAAACCGGATAAGACCTGATGAGCAAAAGAATTGAAAAAATATTAATTTGAAATACATAGAAAATAAAAGATCATTCAAGTTCAATGCAGCAAGCATTGTTCTACAAAGAGCTCTGAGTATAGGAGAAATTATCATGGTTAAAAGTTCAGGTGTTGCAAGGGTGAAATTTTTAACTGGACCAAATATTTTATAGGTTAAATTTGGTCCACTTGGCTTCAATGCAAACCATTCAAAACAAAAAGCATGGCATATAATTACCTTGGAAACAGTCTCAAGAAACATGTCGGGGCGTACTGGAAGTGTCTTTTGTCCTGTTACAATTGGCTGAATATCATGACAGACAAGTTAAATATGCTTTTAAATGACTATAATTTGCATACATGCATAACACATTTCTTAGTTAAATAATAGTATAATACACAAGCATCCAATTCTACCCACCCTTCCAAGAAATTCAACTGGCTCCTCATCTAGGGTGTCGTCCTTATCATCATTGTCAGAATTGTCTGCACCTTCATCTTTTCCTTGCATTACATTTCTTATCATATTAAGCACAATTTTTCCAGGCTTTAGAGCCACCAACTTGGCTAAAAAGTCCACCTGTAGTGCCAAAAGTTTAAAGATGTCAAGAAAATAACATTTCTGACAATGAAAGACAATGAGTGTATTTGGATGCAAGCTAAATCACTTTTGATAGCTTCTCTATTAAAATAAATTTTTTAAACTTGTGTCTAAACAAGCTCAAAACCTATGGAGTTTTGATTTCCAAGCCCTTTTAGTAACAAACAGTAAAATCAGATGAATCTTTTGATTTTTGTTTATATGTTTTCTGATGGATCCAATTATTTTTGTTGAAATGTATCAGATTGTTTTCCTTTAATTTTTGTTTATATGTTTTTCTCATCAGCTTCTATAACATTGTGTATGGATATATTTGGCTCCCCAAGAAATAGTTCTTCTATGTTGAAATCAGTTATCTACAAAAATTTCCGTAGATAAGTTATCTACTGAAATTTCCATAGGTAACTTACCTACGGAAATTTCCGTAGATAACTTACCTACGGAAATTTCCATAGATAATGTTATCTATGACCTTATTATCTACGGATTTTTTTCCATAGATAATCTGTAGATAATTATCAGTTATCTACGGATTTTCATCATTATTTACGAATTTTTTCCGTAGATAATGCTGATTTTTCTTGAAGTGGTTCTGCGATTCATCCAAAACGGTCCGTTCTCCATCCAGAACGGCCCGTTCTCAACTTCGATTTCCAGGTCAATTTAGTAGTTTGGAACGGCCCCTTCCAGATTGGGAACGACCCGTTCTAGGCTACTAAATCACCCATATTGTGCTTTTGGGCCTTCTGAAATAACTTGCTACGTTAAGAACCTCACTTTCATAAGAAAATAAAATGAGAGAGCGTGATTTTAGGGTTATGTGGTACAAGGATAATTAGGTTATTTAAGAAATATTATTAAACGAGTACCCACGATTATGGATATTATCATACTCACCCCCACCCCATTTATAAACGAGTAAAAAGTTATCCGTTCCTATTATTCGCAGGTACCCAATTAGTTTTTCTATTTATTATCTATAACGGATTTTATCCGCAAATACTCGTGGGTGCGGATATTTTTGTCATTCCTACATAGAATATCATAGATATTAATCCCGTGTAGCCGCGCATAGCCAGCGAGATATTGTTATTCTAATTTATATATATATATATATATATATATTTTTTATTTTTA